GGATAGATCCCCCCCATGAGCTGTATTTATATATTGTCTTATACCTACAAATAGTTCAAATAAAAACTAAAAAAGTTTAGAAGTTGTGTATACTTAAATATTACCCGTATATAAATATTTACCCGTTAACGATAAGCATGATTTCAAAATAAATGGTCTGATTCATTTTAATTCTTATTTATTAATAAACATTGGGTGCCTTGCCACACACTGTACCTAATTATGAATAGGTTATAGATGGTAAGTTAAGTAATCCGATAATGGGAAAACCACCATTCCATAAACATAATATAATAATAAAAAATGTAACTTCAAGATTTACATTTCGTAGAACGAATAATAGCCATAGATAGTAGGTACTAAGAACGCGCCCCGACACAAAGTATCTACATTGATTATTGCGATTACGTATAAACAGTAAACACTACACAGTAGGTATACACACCGTGTCATTCTTTCACATTCACAGTGTCAGTTACATTTTTATAAGCTAAAAGCAAAATGGAGCAAAAAAAAGAAAATTACCAGCAACTAGCAGTACTTTATTGAATTTTTTTAAAAAGAAGCCTGGGCCTGACGTAAGTATTACAATTTAAAATACTTGACATTATTAGACCCGGAATTAAATGTTTAAATATTATGTTTGACGTATTCAACTTATTATAATTAGCATTACAACTCGTGCAAAAAATATGCAAAATTAAATTAACACCAGTTAAAAAAGTACCTATAAAAAATATAATTGCAGTCACCGCAGTTTATTCAATAACTATTAGTTATATCATATTAATCATTATAAAACATTTAAATGAGTTTATTAAAAAAAAAATAGAATTTAAAAATGTATGATAATATAATAATAATTAATAATACCTACTTAATATTTAAAAACAATTTAATTCAATTTTACCTATACATTGTCTTGTTTATTATTTAAGGAAAACGTAAAGAAATTTGATGATACATCACGTGAAAAATATCATGTTGAAAATAAAAATTTGATTCAAGCTGTCCAAGAAACAAATAAGGTACAGTACCTATTGTTCTATCGTTCTATGGTATTGTACCTGTTGTACTCCTGCCTGCTAACATTGCATTAAAATTAATAAATTAGATTGTGCTTCGTAATTTTTTTGAGGGAACATTTTGATGCTCGTAAAAATGACATTGCTTTGTTTATTAAACGTGATTTATTATCAGACGAAGAAAAAAATACTGTAAGCTTTTCGAATGCTAATGCCTTATGTCGGATTTAGTCTGAACTATAGTTAAAACCTACCAATATATCATAATATAATATAAACTACAATGTAATTGTTTTTATTATTTTTTGTTTAAAACCTGTAGGTACTTACCAATTTATGGTTATCAAATCATAATTACATATTTCCATTTAATGAAAAAAACAAAAAAAAAGGTTTAAAATTTCAGTATAAATGGCTGAACGAATTCAATTGGCTTGTTTATTTGGAAGTTGAAGGTGGAGCTTTTTGTAAGCATTGTGTTGTTTTTGCAAAAACCGGTGGAATAGGAAATCAATATTTAAAATATTTGGTTAGTGAAGTATTTGATAGTTGGAAAAAAGCTAAAGAGGTATTATTGAATATATTAATGTTTTATTTTTTAATCGCTTATAATTTAATATTATTTTAATTTTAATTTCATTTCCCTTTGAATACATGTTATTATATTGTTATAATTGTAATTAAATGATAGGTATTTCGAAATCATTCTGCATTAGAGTACCACACATTTTCTATTTTGTAATCTGATGAATTTTTAAAAATATATTTAAAAAAAGAGCCAACTATAGTAGAATGATTGGATACAGATAGGTATTTAATCATTAATTAGCTTAAGTCTGCAAGTATGTACTTAGATATTTTTTTTT